CAGAATTCAAGATTTTAACTGGAAATAGTTCAACACTGCCCTTTCCACAACCCTGAAATATTCACATTTTTGTAAAAATAATTAGGAATGGAAATTCAGTTAATGTGATGTTTTGCTGTGTAGTTATTAAAAAAGGGAGAATGGTTCTGATTTACATTGCTTTCTTGACTGGGGACTGTGTGTTAAATGAAGAGTCGACTTTCCCAGTAACCTAATAAACATATGGGATTTTATAGTTGTGCTTGAGCATATTTGGGCTTGAGTGTTTGGCTGCTAGGACCATAGGCATCCTGATAAGATATATGGGCCTGCTGAATTAACTGTTCCAAATGGCTAATAAGCTTATGCAAAGAGCATTTGGAAAAGGAATTATTATAGAGATACCTCAATGAACAGACACCCCAGGGAAGCAAGTTCCTTCCCAATGCACCTGGCCACATACTGAAGGGTAAAGAATCCCATAAGACATGGAGTGTGCTGGTCTGCAGCCCTCAGGTAGGGGAGAAGTCAGAATTCTTTCCTGATCACCATGGAGCTATTCTCAAAAAGAATGGTCCCAGAAGGCTTTCTATTCTGCACCTAAGTATCCAATGTCATCTCTATACCTACTCATAGCATTCTTTAGGAAATAAAAGGCAGGTCTGGAAAATCTCAGTAATTTCTTCAGCAAAAGCCAACTCTTTGGACAAACAGTATCTTGGTGATATTTAGCTACAGCTAACAGACTGTGATAAGAACATGAGACTTATTTTAAAGTGAATCACTTATGTCCTAAAATGGCCAAAGGAATTTTTCCAACCATCACTGAAAAACACAGTACTATAATGTAATGGTTTTAGAGTCTTAGTATGTGTAAGCATCATTCTGGGGTAGAATGCAAAAACCCATCCAGGTGAATTGGATTCCTGAAAAGTATAACCTCCCAGTTTGACTTTTCTGGAAACCACAGTATAGGAGAAACATTACTAAAATAGAAGTTAGGTCCTAATCTAGCTTAAAGATTAATTAGTTGTGAAATAAGTCAAGTCACTTAACCATCCTAAAACCATCTTCTCCTATAAAGTAAAAACGTTGAGACTGCAGAGTCTTTAAGGTCCATTCAAATTCTAAAGGTCCCAGAGGTACAACAAGCTCCATGTCTCCCAACTCAAATTAATGTCTGATGTTATTCCTGAAGCTTTTATAACAATAATAGAGAAACAGAAACTGTGTCTTGACTTAGGAACCATCATATGCCACTGGCCACTTAAATAAGTGGAGATGCAAAGCTGTACCTTCTGTATGCCAGGCCCTGTTCTAAGTGATTGACATATATTAACTCACGGGGGTGGGGGGGGGAGGCAACGAAAGGTAATCTGAGAACCTTGAAACCCATAATTTAAGAGTGGATAATGATGAATATTAAATTGTGACTAGTACTAAAGCGTCGGCAATACTTAATAACAAACCACAACCATAAGATGCTGATGAAATGACTAATGAGAATAGGCCATGGTATGTGTAAGTGAATGACTTGGACTCCTAAACTGTGAACAATTTTCAACCCAGTGAAGTATCTCCTTGGACCACCTATCGTCTACCAAGAAACCTGCAACATTTAACACATACCTATACTTCCTCAGAGAATAAATGCAAGCATTCATCTTGATACTAATTCCTTTATGAACCACGATTTTAAGCATTACTGACCTCTCACGTAAGGGTCTGTGTACAGCACGATGCTCAAACAGGTGAAGGAATGCAAAATTCCTTAAATACTTGGTAGTGCTACACTCAGCAGAGGGCTGTGTGCACTTTGACACTTCGGTGCTTAGAGAAGGTGACGGAACAGGGAGAGTCCTCTAAGAACTCTGAGTGGATTCTTCATTTACATTTACTAGGAAATTGCCATAAATGCACCACCGTTCCAGGTTTTCAAGACAGTAACATAAGATACAAACTTCTGTTTTAAAACTGCAAGAGGATGATTCCATGAAGCAGTAATTCAGTGAAGCAACAGCTGGCCTGTTCCCAAGGTCAACACACAGCCTGGGCATGTGTCAGAAAGATAGGATTAAATAATATTAAACTAATGCCACTCCACCCTCCACTACAACCTCAAGCTCACCCTTTCAGGGTGAAAAGTAACCCTTTTCAGACTACAAACACACAGTCCAGGGTGGTAAGGCCAGAAGGCAGACAGAGTCAAGGAAGCCACACTCTGGAGAGACTAAGTCAAAAAGCTAATTCAGGAGAGACCCAGAAGCAAACTCTCTGCCTTCCAACGTGCAGTCTAACACCGAGCGTTTCCACCACAAAACAAACAGAACAATGTGGAAAAGAAAACAAGTGTACTTGCTTTCTCCTTCTTTTCATCCATTGGTGCACAAGCGTTCTCTAGGCCAGGGGCCCACGCATGGTTTTGTGTAGCCCATGAAAAATCCCAAGAGTAGGTTTTACATTTTTAAATGAGTGACAAAAAAAATTGTTCAAAAAGGAGTATTTCATGACCCGCACTTTATGTGAAGTTCAAATTTTAGGGTCTATCGATGAAGTTTTATTGGAACCCAGTCACACTTTTGTTTACATGTAGCCTGTGGCTACTTTCACACTAAAACAGCACAGCTGACGAGTCGTGACACAGCCTGTCCCACAAAGCCTTAAAATATTTACTCTCTGTCCTTTACCAAAAGTTTGTGGACTTCTTGAAAACCTACACAGTGAACACAGTATATGAAGAGATCAACAGGAAAGAGAAACGAGAAAGTGAGACACGGGAAACATCCAAGTGTGTGCTCACGATTTATCCTTTCACTCCACAGCAAACAGGGCAAGTGCTGCAGAGCAACAGGGAGGGGAAGGGAGTGGTCAGACATCACATCGGGACCAACAACGCTGTGAGCACACGTCCCGGCACTTGCTAGACCTGAGGACACAGGGACACAGGTCTTCTCCAACTCTGCGAAGTGGAGGCAGACACAACGCTGAAGGCACCAGTATTTCCCAACAACCGACAGGTCACAGATGCCCAGGGCCACTCCTCAGAAGCCCTGCTCACAGAGCCTGCGGCCATCAGCAGGGAAGCCCCTGCCATGTCGGTAGAAATCCAGCTCCTCGCTCTCATTCTGGCTGGGTCTGACCTCGGGCTGGTCATGGCACTCTCTGAGGGTCTAATCCTTTCACCCGGAAAATGAGACATGCTGACCAATCAGAGGGGCATTCTCTCTCTCAACTCCTCTAAAACCAGAGGAAAAATGAGACGAGGAAAGAGAGAGAGAGAGGAAAAAAATGGTATACCATTTTGTTTTCTTCTTTATAATAGACACGATAAAACTGGGATAGAGGTAACCCTCATGGGAAAGGAAAGGGTCTATGGCCAAGCAGCAGGCTGTCTTCAGCGACAGTAATTAGTACTAGGTTAGGATGGAAGACTAAGAAACAGGCATTTGAATTCAAGGATGTGAGTTTGTTCCTTCCCTTTTTTAGGGGCTTCTGGAAACAAAGACACACATGTACCCATGCAGGGTGTGTTCCCTTTTCTTTCCCCAGGGACAAGAGCAACATTTGTCTGAATGCTGCTCGCTCTACAAGTAGCCGCCCAGGCATTAGTCATGAACATTATCTGTAATGAGGAGTGGGTTACAGCAGTCCGCACCTCCCTACCACTGGACTCCAATAAAATAAGCTTGTTTATCACAATTCATACACTTGAAACAGTTTGGAAGGGTACAGTTCTGTTCACCTACTGGGGCAAGTTTAAGAAAAAAGTACCATGTAGCCCTCTGAAGAGCAAAAACAGGGCCCTGTCAAGTCTAGACAAAGAGGAGTGATTTTCTGAGGGGAAATATGATTTAGTCTTATAACTTGATTTTCAGCTTCCAAAGAGTTTTTTTACCTATTTTTTTTTTAATTAACCAGCAAGGACTCTAAAGCTTAGAGCACTGTTTCTCTCAACAAGTTTGTTTCATTGTTTTAAGTTAATACCTTTAAACAAAAAGAATCGTAAGAACCTGAGGAAAAAACATTTTTGAAAACTTACTCAATATTAAATATAGAATTACCAGTGACCCAGCAAATCCACTACTGGGTATATGAAAACATATATCCACACAAACTTGTACGTAAAGGTTCCTAGCAGTATTATTCATAACAGCCCAAGAGCAGAAACACGGAGATCAATTATCCATACAATGGAGTATTACTTGGCAATGAAAAGAAACAAACTATTAACCAACGTTACAACATGGTTCAACCTTGAGACAGTAAACTAAGTCAGAGAAACCACTTGTGAAAGACCACATAGTTCTATATAATCCCATGTGATGTTCCAGAATGGGCAGATGCTGGAGACAGAAGGGAGATGAGGGACACCCAGGAGCCAGACAGTGGGGAGGGATGGGCTGCTAATGCATATGAGGTTTCTTTCTGGGGTGACGATAACGTTCTGACATCAGTGGTGACAGGTTCTCTGAAATCTACTGAAAACGACTAAACCGTGCACTTAAATGGGTGGATTTTACAGTGTGTGAATCATAACTCAATAAAGCTGTTATAAAAAAAAACTAGTGAACTTTGTCACTAAAAATGACATACTGCACATTTTAGACAGCTAGTAGTGAACTCTAAGTTAAAATCTCATTTTTTGCTATCAGTTTCTAACAGTCAGGTTTAAGAAGGGTTACTAGATCCCTTTTTGTGGTAACTCTCCTTTTGTGACACATTAAACATGATGACAAACTCAAGTCCAGTGCTCACAGGGCAAATCTTTTTCATTACAATCTCCAAGGGACCCATGCAGAAGGGCCCGTTCCAAAACTATGCTGGGTGGTGCATGCTGTGTATGAAAGCTGAACGCAGCAACATAGCCACATCTACACGCGATGGGACAAGAGAAAAGGGGGGAAATATTATTGTTAAAAAGAAAAAGTTCCCCTAACAAACAAACAAACAAAGGCCATAAATCAGACACAAGAGACCAGGCTAAATACATTTTGTGCCCCTACAGACTTAATGCCACTTACCGCCCGGGTCGCCAGGCCTTGCTTCACGTCAGGTGTGGCGGCTGGGTCTCCTACGGCCACCTCTGCAGAAGCCGAGCTCGCCCTGGTATTACTCAGAAAATCCACTTCGTCTGCAGCTTTCAAGTCTGGCATTTCTGAAGAGAACAAGGCGGTTACAAAGTGCGTCTGAAAAATCAGTTCCTGTGTCTTAGTATTTACACAACACATCAGGCTTCACGTGTTTTGTTTGCTTTTGCTTTTGTGTTAAATGGAAAAGTGTTCATTTGGAGCTGGTGTCATTTCGGGCCCCGTGCTGAGCTATTCCTTTATCACCAGGTCCGCATGGTTTTTCCGTAGCCTCTGTATGGACTTGTAGCTAAGCAGACATGCACTTCAATGTCTACTGAACTTCCATTTTCACTACTGACTTCTGACAAACCCGTGAGTGTGGTGCTGACTGCATATAGGAAAGTAAATTCACAAGCTTTAAGGAAACAGATTAACAGCTGAAGCTAACTAGTCCATCTTGATCATCATCAAAGAAGCCAGAGATGTTTATATTTGCATAGGACAAAGGGGAAAGATCTGTCGAGAATGAGATAAAACCTTTAAGAAGGGTCTTTCTTTAAAAACATACTGCACACTCTCATCTAACCATCACTGCAACGGACAAGACTGGAGTATTCTAGTAAATAATATATTTTTTATATTTTAATTTTTATTTCTTCCCCAACCAAAACAATCACAAACAAGGAATTTTTTTTTTTTTAAGATTTTTACTTTTAAGTAATCTCTACACTCAACATGGGGCTCGAACTTACAACCCTGAGATCAAAAGTCATACATACACCCCACGGCCTGAGCTAGCCAGGCACCCCAAGGAATTCCTTAAGAAAATGTTTTTATATGTTTTCTTTAGAATTATACTCACTAGACCGAACAGTAGTGGTTTTTGTTACCTGACCACCATATGGTCAAGCAAATACAGGAAGGAAGTGATAACTTGATGTCTGAGGCAAATTTAAGCTTTGACTTTTTTTTTTTTTTAAAGGGGGCTGATGATTGAACGTTTAAAATTCACCTTGATAATACAAACGAAAATAGAACTATCACCTCAATTTCATGTGGAAACTTTTCCGTGGCCAGTTTTAATCTTGTCATGCCACCACTCTAGCAGAAAAAAATGTTCCACACACCAAAGGACAGAAAAGTTTCTTTCGCCAAAGAACAGAGTTTATTCTAACAGCACACTGTGACATGCCCAAAGGTCTAACTTCAGGTTTAGGAAAGTTACATTCCTACAGATGAGCATTCATAAATTCCCTTATTTATACTTATACAATCTTAATAGCAATTTAAAAGTGGGCAAACAAGTTTCCTTGCCCAAAGAACCAAATCTATGTTACATTTCATAAAATGTAAATAAATTAAAAAAAAAATCGAAGCAATCACCTTAGAAGTGCTCACTGATCAAAACATTTCTAAATAAGAGTAATTTTTCTGGGTTGTTGATTACTTCTATTTTATTTATTTGGGGATGTGATTTTTGCCACAACCTTATTACCCTATACCCAGCAAGTGAAAAGATGTATCTTGGCAAGCAGCAACCAATCACGACTGTGAGCAGTGATTACTGAGATCACGAGGGGCACCGACAACCTCTGCGGGCCTGGCCTGGCTCAGTCATGGACGACTAACTTCCCAAACCACTGTGATGGATGCCCAGGATGAGTGAAGGGCCGCATCCCTTCCTTCTGATTTGTAGTTTCTCATGTTGATTTCTATTTGGCCGCATCTACAAACAGAAGCCAGTGCCATGTGGCTCCTTCCAAGTGAGAGGTTACACCGAAGTCTCTTCACTCATTAAACAGTATGGTTAAATCCATGAATGGAAGGTAAACTTCCCAAAAATCACCCTTTGGCTGAGATCACACTCAGGTGCTTTTTCTCTAGTGCAATGTGACCCGCGACTTTCCCCGATTCTGCCTTTTTTTTTTTTTTTTTCCGTGAAGAAAGCACCTATTTCTTGGTCACTGGCTACTTCTCTCTGTAATGTAAGACCATGAGCACTGAACACACATGACTCCTCTTGGTAGCAGAACAAGTAACTCGCCCACACACATCAACCAACCCTAAACCCAGAGATACAGCTGAAACTTCATACAACTCATTTTCCTTCCTAAAACCTTAAAATTCATTTCTTAGCATCTATACCCTATCTACATACTACTAAAACTCAAAGTCTGAAATTCTCCCTCGTTTTTACCTTTTCTCTCCGGGTATCAGAGACCCAAACTTCACATAAATTGCACTTGCTTGGGTTAAATTCAGACTACTGAGCCAGAAAGACAAATAATTCCAGCCCATGTGGCCAGAGACACAGCACCCAAATGAAAAGAACATAGCCAGGCATCAGCTTACAGCCACTCCCATTCTTCTGAAATGTCAACCTGCCAGGGCCCCCAAAATAGACTTGTTGTTGTATCTTATTTTAAAAATTTGAGACCTTTTCATTTAAATCCTGAGATAGCAGCCAACAAATTTCTAGCACTAAACAATCCAAAACACGAATAAAACTAAAAACCTCAAGTCACCAAAAACACTATAGTACCTAAGGCTTCTTAAATTCCTCAACTGGAAAAAAAGATCATAAATGGTTAAAAACCCTTTATCGAGGGCTGGGGTAGGGGAGGACCACTGTGTTTAGGTTGCTCTTTTTCCTAAGCAACTTCTTTTCTGGTTCTTTTTGTTCATTTCTCTACATGCCCCACCCCCACACTTTTAACACACACTACACTTAAGGAGATTTTCAAACATTGGAAGAGCAGCAAAAACAAATCACCAATAAAAACAATCAAGCTACTTCTTACCCACACAGCCTGGGGGTGAGCATGGAGACAGGCCCTCTGTCTGCACCTGGTGACAGGTGGTGGCATCAGAGTACGAATCGAACTGACCTGCAATGATTCAGGAGTCAATACCACCTCGGACTCCAGCTTCGGCTTGAGCCTCAACCCCCAGGAGGAAGTTTTATTCACATGGTGTATTTCCCCTGAGCCAGAGCGGTTTCTCTTCTCTCTCTCTGCACATGGTTACCCACAGATGGAACAGGCCGCTGTGTGAGCAATCTGCTCGGCGCAGCTGCTTCACGGAGATAAGCAGACACAACGTGTGCCCTGTCACGGCAGCTGAGCAGACTTGGGCGGACACCCTGCATCCCGTCCCCGGCACTGCGCACGGTCCCGAATTCCCAGACTGCTGCCCAAAAGCAACAGGCAATGGAACTGGAAGTCGGCTCCGAGGGCAGGAAAAGGAGGGCGTTCTCTCTGCTCCCCTCCCCCTGTCCCAGCCCCCGCCCTCCCCAATGACCTAATACCACCATTTTGGATGTAGGGTCATTCGTGTAGAACGACACTTAGAGCTGTTTCGTGAAACCACCCTGACTCTCAATTTGCTCAGAATACGGATTAGGATGACAGGGAAAGAAAAGTGTTCCAGGCTTATAAGCAAAACATACTTTTTCAGCACTGCTTTTCCCAGTTCTAGAAAAAAGGACCAAGCCATGTGAATAAAAACATCTGCTAAATTCCTTTATCATTGTAGAGCACCTGCGACAGAGACCATTTTCTCGGTTAGCAAAACTGCCACTGCTCTGGGGTGGCAGACGGAGGAGCATTTACAGGCTTTAATCAATCAAGCCCGGAGTCTACAATACAGGAAGCAAAATCTGTCCAACCCTGAGGGGATGTGCCTCTCCTGACGGGGGTGACTATTAACTTGGCAACTTACCCAGTGAATGAAAAGACGCCTCTAAACCACAAAGACGCCTCCTTTTTATACCAGCATATCTCCGAGGCTCTTAAAGGAGTTTGCCCCTCAAACTGTTACTTCTGTATTCTGCTTTGCTTACCTGCTGCTGGCTCAGATCCTTCAGTGGGCAGAACCATCTTCTCTGGCTCCTCCCTTTCAGCCAAACCCCCTGCAAGTTTGCCAGGGGCTTCTTCACAGATACTGCCCATGTGTGGGGTCCACCCAGGCGGAAAAGTGCTCCCTTTCCCTGCAGAAGCGCTCTCTGGCTGCCCAGTCACCGGGCCAGACTCTGAAGGCTTGGACAGTGACATGTGACTGATCCCCGGACCAGTGATCAGTGCTCCCGAGGACTTGACTTGGTCTAGGACGGCCTCCACTATGCGACTTGCAGCCTCCTCGATGGAGTCTGCTCTCTCAGGCAGAGACACAGCACAAGGTAGAGGGGGAGCGCCCCTTGCCCTGTCTGGGGCCTGGTCACCACTGCTTGAGAGTCCGGTCTCAGTGGGGAGCTCTTTGCCAAGAGGCTGCTGTGGGACGTGATGTGCGTCAGCATCCACCTGTTGCTCCCTGGAGTCGGCCACGCCACAGCTGTGGGCTGCTTCCTGCCAACCGAGAGGTACCATCTCTGGAGCTGCAGTGCCCTGTAGGTCAGTCACACCCTTGTCTGCTAAAGTTCCTGGTAAACCCAGGATCATAATCTTCTCCTGGCTCAAGACTTTTGAAATCAGGAGGTCTTGGGCGTTGTGTGATACAGCCTTTGTTCTGGCCCCGACAGTATCTTGTAAAGCACTAACCACGGCAACATCCAACCCCACATTTCCGCTCACCTCGCCAGCAGTGTCTTTACCTTGGGTTTCAGGGTTTTGCACTCCAACATCCAGAGCAGAAGATCGATTGCCAGGAAGAGCCTCTGACCCATCTGGTAACAGGCCTGGCAATGGAGTCGAGCTGCTCTGCTCTGCACTGAAGGCTTCCTGGCGTGGGTCTGCAGCCAGACTTGCTCCCAGTGGTACAAGGCTCTGTGCAGCCCCACCTTCAGTCAGCAGAGAGACTGGTGGGGCCACTTCCTTGTTATGCTTAGTTTCTGCGTTCAGACAGGCTGAGGGTGTGCCCAGTGAATTATGGCGCTCAAGTGCTCTGTCCTCAGCACAGGCGGCTGAGCTAGGCTCTCCAAAGAATCGCAGTGCCTCCTGTCCAGGAGGTGGTGTTCTCTGCTCTTCGTGAAACGTTCCTGAGGAACAAGTCACTGCTTTATCCCTGCCATCTTGTCCCTGAGCTTCAGAGACTTCTGGAACCACCAGATTTTTCCCTTGTTCAGTCAGAATGGAATCAGAGGCCACAGTGGCCTTACCCGCACGTAGCGGAAAAGAGTCAGCGCCGCCCCCCTCGATATCCAGGGCTTCAGGGGCTGCTGAGAGGCAGGGACCCCCATGTTCCCCACCAAGTCCCATGGGACTGGTATTCCCCATGCTGGGCTGAAGACGGAGAGCAGTGGAGGGCGCAGGTAGGCCCGTGGCACCGTCTTCTAATGGCTGCTTATCAGGATCGCTCGAATCTCTGCCTGGGCCATCTCTACTATCTGTAGCTGTATGTAGTTCGGGAGTTGCTGTTCCCTTTTCTTTCTGGGAGGGGACAAGAGAAAGTGCGTCATCTTTGGTTACTGATTCACTGCCTGGACTGCTTGCCAGAGAAGTCTCATCTGATGTCACTGCCTGGTCCGGCACCGGTTCTTTCTCGGCTTTGGGGACAACTGCCTGTGGAGGCACCTCAAGCATATTTGTTAAAGCTGTTCCTAGGTTCAAATCTTTACCGTGGCCCTTTGTATCCGAAACTTCAAGAGGACAAAATTCCACCTGTTCCTGGGTGTCTAATCTTAGGGGGCCAGCGGTGGCTGTGTGAGCCTGTGGACCTTCACAGCAGAAGGCCGGGGGGGGATGCTGCGTGGGGGATAGTCCTGGGCCAGTGCTCTCAGGCCGGGTACCTAGGCCATCACAGTGTCCCGCAGCAAGCACGCCACCAGAAGTCCCTGTGCTCTGCCCACGGGCAGGGGTGGCACCCAGAGTGTCCCCTCCAGCTGTAGAACAGCTCTGAATGGGAGATGAATCAGGTTCTGATTTCTGGTTTGGCGCATCTTTTCGTGGCCCGGGAAAGGTCAGAGCAGAGGGTGACACTGCCTCACTTGTGCCTGCCAAGGGAGCAGAAGGATCAAGCCCATCTGAAGCCGTGTCTTCTGCAGCAGTTGGAACTACCAGGGAGCTCTGATCCACAGGAGGCCCAGCACCCTCTTCACAACTTCCTGAAGTTTCTGTTTCTGCAGTTTTCACAGGGCAGGCTTCTCCCTTGCTAGACTCAAGTAAAGACTCAGCAGGTTTGTTACCATCCGGGCAGCCAGGGGCAGAGACGCAGTTTGGAACAAAGGCTTTATCTGCAGGCTGTCTTGTGACTTTTACGTCAGAGACTCCAGCTGTGCTGATATTAGAGTTCTCAAACTTTTCCTCTGTACGTTCCCTTACCTCAAGCACGTCCTTCTGGATGGTGGTGTCTGAGCTCAGGAGACCACGTTCTGTCTCCCCTGCAGTCACTGGGACGCTGACTGCCAGGTCACCTCCAGAGAAATGCGGAGTGGGAGCGGTGCCCAGTTGCATGCCCACGTCTCCCTGCAGAACACTGTCTCCAGGTTTTGGAGACTCCTGCTCTGGGGCCAATGCAGAAGATTTTGTTCCAGTTTCTCCATTTCTGATTCCACAGGATGGAAAGTCTCCTGTGCCCTCCCCTCCACAAGCAGGCGTGCTCCCCAGGCAGCTGCTGGGCTCAGACACCGTTCCACAGTCTGCAGCCAATGATGGCTCCGCCTCTTCCCCGGCTCTCCCCACACCTTTGGTTCCCTTCTCATAGGAACAGTCTGTATTCTCTTCCTCAGCCACACCTGACAAATAGGAGGAACTTTCCATCTCCCCCACAGTGCTCCCGTGGCCGCACAGAGGGTGCTCAGGGTCTTCGGGAAGAGACGAGTGTGGCTGGCCGTCCCCAGGATCTGACGTGCAGCCAAGAAACTGGCCATCTGGGTCTTGGGCACTGGGCAGACTTGAAGGATCCTGTGCCGCCACCATTAAGGGCACAGGATTTTCCATCTGCTTAAGGTTTGTTTTCTAGGAGGAAATGAAAGATAGTTGTAAAAGCTGCCCATGGGAAAAGATGTCACTGACACCCAGAAGCAAAACTCCTGCCGGAGAGAATTCGCTGCCATTCCAAGCCCTCCTAAGATCAGATGAAAAACTGATCTCAAGAAATACAAATACCGGGGCGCCTGGGTGGCTCAGTCGTTAAGCGTCGGCCTTCGGCTCAGGTCATGATCCCAGGATCCTGGGATCGAGTCCCACATTGGGCTCCCTGCTTGGCAGGAAGCCTGCTTCTCCCTCTCCTACTCCCCCTGCTTGTGTTCCCGCTCTCGCTGTGTCTCTATCAAATAAATAAAATCTTAAAAAAAAATACAAATACAAATACATTTTCTCTTGTTCCTGAAAGCACTTTCCTCTCTTGTAGCTACATATCCACTGGAATGATAAAATAGTCAAGAATATACAACATGGCTATCTCCTAAATTATGAACTTATTTTAGAAAGGTGACCCTCAAAAACTTTATTTGACAAAACCACAGTGACTATCTTCAGCTGAGAAAGATATTTTTATAGGGTCTTGAGAGGAGCAGAGGGGCTTCCATTCCACCTCATGTATATGAGTAAAAGGAAGTCCTAACCAGTGTGGTAAAGTCTCATCAATTGCAAGGTGCAGGCCGATGTGCCTGCACCTGAAATTCTTACTGAGGAGTCACACAGTGTCCTTTAACCACCCCCAGACAGGCTCCATTCAAGTCTAGCATACCACTTTTCGTGACAGGTTCATAATTTCAAGAACAGTGGCATGGCAGATAGTCTTTTGTTTTTGATAAAAGTGGTTCCTCTGTTGTCTAGTACTGAATATGAAATAAGATCCAATTCCCAATAATTCTTAGATAGCACTGTGGCTTGAGGATACTATAGGTCATGTCAAAACTGCTTTTTGCAACTTTACAGTATTTTAAAAAACAAACAGATATTACCAACTATATGGGAGCGGTTAAAAAAAATCATGGTTGGTCAACCTGATGGCAAGGCCGTGCTGTTAACTATGAAGACCATGGTAAAAGCTGAAATACAGATTTATGACACAATGCTGAAAAAAATGGATAAAACCTAGGGTTAATCTAAGGTCATAAGTATGAAAAATTTACATGTACATGTAGACAAGGCTGAGGAAAAATGGGAAAAAAAACAAATACAGCTCATCTTTACGGTGGGTTTGCCTTTCTTTCAAGATTTCAGAAATTCCTACAATACTACAATTTGTTCAACAAATAAAAATGATTTTTAAAGCATCTGTTTGCTCTTCCCCATTCTCTGACCTACTGTGATAAGCTCGTACATATCTACTGTGCACTGCCCTCGTTCACCTTCTCCCTCAGAATACTTCTAGTTCTCCAGCATCAGACTAGTCCTGTCTACCTACCAGGTCTACTGTAAAAGTTTACACGTACGAGTATACAATGTGTTGTGCTCAACTAAAGTCTTTCTACTAAGAGAGTACAAGAGAAACTTTCGCTAAAAGCTTCTGTGCTATGTGTGCTCTGTAGAGTGTTCAAATTTAGCTTGCTCCCATTCCTGTGAGAGTCTCCTTTAGTCTCCTCAAGATCATGAAAGCAGGTCATTCCATTTAATAAAGAAGAGAGATTCGGGGAAACAAGTGTTGTTTTAGAAGCTCCTAACACACGCATCCTGTCAGAGTTTTAACTTCTCACAGTTTCCTGTCAAATATTCCCATATCGTGCAGTAACTCCAGCACCTGCAAGGGGGTATTTTCAACTGACTAGTAAGAAGAGCTCCAAGGGAAAAATCGGGCCTCTTGGCAAGCCGTTCAGAGGAAAAGAAAAGGACACCTGTCCTGGCACAAACACAACCGAGAAAGGGAAAGGTGGGCTCACCACACACCCCTGCGGTAAAGTGTCTTGGCCTGATGGCCTCAAATATAATGCCTGCTCCCTGCTCGTAACTGGTACTCTTATGACTTTCCTTCTGGTACTGAGCTGACCCTAGATGACCTTAAATGAAATTATTGTCAAGCTCTTTCCAAATCAAATCAGCTCTGAAATAAACTGGGTGGAAAAATTATCTAAACTTAGCCTTTCAGACGTTATGGCCAAGAGACATGTACCCATATGACATTTATATTCTCCATAATAAATGCTACCAAGGAGTCTGTAATGTTTTTACATCTGGCAACAACTTTATCTTGAAGGCTTGAGTAGATTATAAAATCTTTAATTTTTTTAGTGATCTTTTTACCATACAACTATCAATTTAAATATAGTAATATTATCATCACTCATTGAAATAGTTGTGAAAAGGCTTTATTTTTAAGTAAATGTGGTCCTTGTTCTTTAGCAACAATCTCAGAAACTGTTTTGCTCATTTAGCTTTATAAAGCTAAACTGACAAATTTATAAACAGACGAATTTCCTTTTATGCCAAGAAAATTGAGTTCTAGTTGTTGCATATTTCTGTATCTGCAGGGTGTGTATATGTATCTTCCATTATTTCAAAAACCTGGCAAAAAAAAAAGAAAAATTCCCAGTCCCCTGTTGCTGTTCTGTGTCTGTAACATCTAATGCTGCTAGAACTGCTTTCGGTACCACAGTCTTTGAGGAAAGCATTTCTATGTTCTAATTATAGGAAGGTTCACTGGGAGAAAGAGCAAGGGCACAAAAGCCTGAAAATGGACATTTTCTTCCTTACCATTAGCTGCTGCTGGATGTTCATAAGTTTAAAAATATGTCCAGTGCAACTGTCTCCAGGAAATGGGGCTTCATGATGTGATTCGGATTCAGAGGTTAATGTATAGACGTCCAACTCTCGATGATGTCTCACAGAACAGTCTCCATATGGGATTTCATAGGATAAACTGCTCCAGGAGTCTGGTTCCCCAGCATTCTCCCTGTAAGCAAGCAGTCTCTGGTTAGTCTACATATGCTCTGCTCCCTCACCCCTGGCAGGGCTCTTTCCTCTCAGTCTTACCCCACTGCTCTGGAGGCTCTGCAGCAGAAATCTGGTTTGTAGAGTTCCCCAATGATCCAGGCATATAAGTAACTGTTCCATCTACCTCATAAGAGGTCACAAATGGATTAAATGAAAACAGCAGGATTCCTCCCAGAGAATGTTCTTTTGATCAAGATAAAGAGAGGCCTGGCAGCTTAAAATAGTTAATATTATGCTAACATCCAACTAATGAGGAAATGTAAGGAGGATGGTCTTAGCCTGGTTTTCAACAGAAGCAAGGCTTATATTAAGCAATTCTCTTAAATTGGGTTGTACCACATGCTAACTGCAGTCGATTATATTGGGAAGAAGGAATCACTATAACCCATGCAAGGGCACTCCAACTTTCATTAGCAACTCTCAAGGTCAACTATGCAAAGACTACGATCCCATACCATATCATACTTGTCAATACAATTATGAAGAAGCACTTGGTTCTAAGAACTTCAAGTTAAAATTTTTCTTTTTATTTTAAAAAAATGAATGACCTTGCTCAGCTAATATCATCATAAACATACCTCATCTACAAATACAGCCGACAAAGGCACAGGTATGTAAAGAAACATTTCTGGGATAGGCCCCAAAACATGAAATCTCTTTATGAACCAGTAGATTGGTAAAGTATCCCAGAGATTCTGGAAGAAGGAGGAAGGTGATCTTTGAGATCATCATGCTTTAAAATGGAAGTAAAACAGAATCAAGCATGAAGAAGTAACAGACATGCTACACACTGACAAAAAGGACAAGGAAACCCTCTCTGCAGTGTTTTATTTACTAAATCATACCTGTCTGTCAGGAACAACTCACCAGATAGTAACTGGAATTTGAAACTAACTATATGCTATATTATGAAGCCTAGAACTGAGTAATCGTGCGCTGGCTGAAGGTAATGATGAAGGCTGTTCTGAAAGGAAACTACTGTAAGGTCTATTCTCGAGAGCGACACCCCAGCAGCTGCTGAAAATGAACCTAGCACACACTATGCTCAATCTTCTACAGACCTGCCGAGCTGCTTTGCTCGGAGTAAAGTGGCCTCAAGTAGAAGAGTACAGCTGACTCTTGAGCAGCACGGGTCCGTTTACACACACATTTTTTTTTCTCCTGCTCATAAATACAGTAGAGTTCTATAAACGTATTTTCTCTTATGACTTTAAGATTTTATTTATTTGACAGAGAGACAGAGTGAGAGAGAACACAAGCAGGGGGAGTGGGAGAGGGAGAAGCAGGCCTCCTGCTGAGCAGGGAGCCCGATGTGGGGCTTGATCCCTGGACCCTGGGACCATGACCTGAGCTGAAGGCAGACGGCTAACGACTGAGCCACCCAGGTGCCCCACTTCTCATGACTTTCTTAACTAACATCTCTTCTCTGGCTTACTGGATTGTAAGAATACAGTATATAATACACGTAACACAAAATTCGTGTTAATTGGCTGTTTATGTTATTGGTAAGGCTTTCAATCAACAGCAGTCTATTAAGTTTTTGGGGAGTCAAAAGTTATATTCGGATATTTGCCAGCACAGGAGGTTGGCACCCCTAACCCTCCCATTGTTCAAGGGCCATTTCTACTTGTAAGATAGTCACTTAAAAGTTCAACTGAGGGCGCCTGGGTGGCTCAGTTGGTTAAACGAATGCCTTCAGCTCAGGTCATGATCCTGGAGTCCCAGGATCGAGTCCCACATCGGCAGAGAGTCTGCTTCTCCCTCTGACCCTCCCCCCTCTCATGT